AAATATTTTTTATTTTTATTTTGGTACTATATATCTTTTAGTATTATATAAATGCATATTTCACAACTAATTAAGAATGACTACAAATATCTCTATTTTAGTCATACAATAATAAAAAGATTTTTTTTTGGATATTACAAAGATATATCAATTATTTAAAAAAATCAAATCTCAGAGAGTTGGAGGGGTTTAACGATAATGATTTGTGTGATAGGGATTCTGACGATAGAAAAATCACGAATGTTGTATATAAAGAAGTGTTTAATAATATTTAAGTTCATTTTTTAAAGTTATTTTTTATTATTTATTAAGTTATGATCTTTATTTTATTTTATATTTTTAATTATTTTCTCTCCTATTATATCGCTTTCCGTGCAAATGCACGGGATAAAGCTAGTATATAGAAGTACGTGGTGGTGAATGTTGTTGGTTGAGTAAATTCAGTTAGATAAATTAATTAATTTATTAAAAATATCATTGCAATAAAATGTAGAACAAACGAGGTCTTATTATTTTTTGTCAACATGATGATGTCTTAATATAAAAAGATTACAACAACAACAACAACATAATCTTTTACTCCCAAGCAAGTTGGGGTAGGCTAGATATGAAACTCAAGAGAACCAATGGTAAGAGAAACACAAAAAGGGGCTCAAAACAAAAGGAAGAGATTGGAGCAAAAGAGAAAGGAGCAAAAGTCACGGTTCTGGCACGTTGATTGCTAGCCTCCAAGCGCTCATATCCACCGCTAAATCCTTGGAGATATTCCAATCTTTAAGGTCTCTCTTAACCGACTCTTCCCAAGTGAGTTTAGGCCGACCTCTACCTATCTTAACATCATCGACCCGCTGTAGAACTCCCCTACCACCGGTACATTAGGAGGCCTCCGTTGGACATGTCCGAACCACCTTAGTGGATGTTGAACCAATTTCTCCTCAGTTGAAGCCACCCCGACTCTATCTCGAATATCCTCATTCCAGATTCTATCCCTTCTTGTGTGCCCGCAAAACCAATGCAACATACGCATCTCTGCTACACTCAGTTGTTGGACATGTTGTCTTTTTGTAGGCCAACATTCAGCACCGTATAACATCGTCGAGCAAATCGCCTCCTATAGAACTTACCTTTTAGCCTTTGTGACACCCTCTTATCACAGAGAATGCCCGAAGCTTGACGTCATTTCAACCAACCGACTGCAATTCTACGCCTAACATCTTCATCGATGCCGCCATCCTTTGTAGCATCGATCCTAAATACCGGAAAATCTCCTTCTTGGCCACCACTTGCACGTCAAGGATAAGGTCACCATCATCATGTGTAGCCATGCTGAAAGGGCACGTCATGTACTCGGTCTTCGTCCTACTAAGTCTGAAGCCTTTCGACTCTAACGTGTCCTTCCACAGCTCTAACTTCCTATTTACCCCTGCTCTACTCTCGTCAACTAGCACCACATCATCAGCAAATAGCATACACCAATGGATATCACCTTGTATGTCCCTTGTGACCTCATTCATCCCGAAGACAAATAAATAAGGGCTCAATGTGTGAATATTTTAGTCTTAATTTAAAAAGATTAAATAATATATTACAACTCCAAGAAAATATATGAAAAGAATTCCTAATGACAAATACACTAAATAACTAAAATAAGAACTTAATGTATACCATATATACTTTAATTCTTTTATTTATTTATTCTAGATGATTCAAGAATAATTTTCTTTCATTTTGATTTTGACGTTCTCATAAGAAATATTCACACGTTAATAGTACTGCGAAATTATTGTTAAATTGTGTGGCAAAACGTCTATTTTAAATATTCTGGGCAAACTTATAGTCAAATTTCAAGATTATATGATCTTTATAAGATATTTCTAGTAACAGGTCTATTAATATCTATGTGAAATAACCAACCATGTCATTAAAACTGTTGATAGTTTTTTTTATTGTTGCCTAAATTACTCTCTCTCTCTCTCTCTCTCTCTCTCTCTCTCTCTCTCTTTGTGTGTGTACATATAAACAAATTGATACCTACCCCACGGACATCGCACCATGGAGTGGCCGGAACAAATTTCATCTACAAATAAAAGTTGACCATCCAAATTTTTGGCTACATGTACTTCTTATGGCACTTTTTTTTTTTTTTTTTTTTTTTTTTTTTTTTTAAATCATCACATTACATGAAATTATGTATTTTAAAGTAAATGCACATATGTTCGAGCACAATATACCAATATTATAAATTATTCATATAAAAAGCGACAACTTCATTTAAACATGTAAAAATATTTTGACCAGGCCCCGACATTCCATTTCAGTGTTATTTATTTGGAAGATAGATGAAGTGCATAATCTATTGTTCGCAAATCATTGAACATATTGGTTGCAATTTTTATGTGCCTAACTTGTTAAAGGCTTTTATTGTCTAACTTTCTGCATCATACAAAATACTTCGAAAATTCACAATAAAGAGTCATTCCTGATATTCAACAATGATAAAAAAGAAAAAAGAAAAAAATAATAATGAGGCAATATTGAGAAGCATATCATTTGTCAAAATATTATAGAGGAGATAAATTAGCATTCTATTATGTGATACTTAGTCATCTGTGAACTTTATTATTACAAAGTCATTATTAAAATCCACATTATGTATTACAAAGTTTATAATTTTTTAATTATTTAA